CTCACTATGCGGCAGCACTGGCCCCTCTAAGTATCTTAACGAAAAGAAATCTCAGTGTTGTCAAAGAGAGTAGGAACAATTATTTCTATGTAGAAGCAAGTGACATGTTTCTCCTTATGATGAATTTTTGCTTCAGGCAAAAGTAGCTGCCATGTCTATTGTTTGTTCTTATGTATCTATTTTCATTCCTTATGGAAGTGATCTTTTTTTTTTTTTTTGTCTTTAAGGTCTTATTTTTTAGACCATTGAATAATAATTCTGGCAGATTTGTTTCTTTTTTTCCTGGGTTGGTTAGTGAGACAGAAATAGAAACAAATCTTGTTTTCAGTGTTTCCTGGCTTACACACTTGTCAAAGGTACATTCCTTTTGAATGTCCAGGGTCTTTCAAAGGGTAAATCAAAGCCTCCAGCTTAGGTGTGCTATGTTAATGCCAACAGCTTTGCTCTCATGTTGCCCATGAATGAATGAATGAGTGAGAATAAGGCCCCATTTGATGTCATGTTGGTAACAGGCTGTGAAGCAGAATGGACAGCCTTGTGAAATGACCAGGAGGGTCAAGAGGATGTTGCACACAGTAAAGACATAAAGTTCAAAGTGCTTCAGTATCATGGAAAAATTAATGTTATGTCAAAATTGAAAAATACATTTTATTGTGCTACCTGGTGTTGGGTTCCTGAACTAGGACCCCGAGACGTCGAGTTGCGCACCCCAAAGACTCAGATTCCAAACCAGTAGATGCAACACACAAGAGGATTTATTCAACCTCTGCGCAGACGGGCCTCTCGACAGCACAAAGCCATCCAAAGAAGAAGCCCCGAACAGTTGTTAACGAGCATTTTTAAAGGGAAAAACCACATAATTTACTAAATACACACAATTTACACGCTAATTGGAGGGTTTAAATGATACACACACGATTCACACACTGATTGGAGGATTTAAATGAGGGGGTTAGTGGAGGGAAAATTTTTCTGGCTATCGCAGGAGTCACTTTAAGACTTTAGGGTGGGATATCTGCTGCTTGCCAGAAGGTGCTCTGCAACTAGGAGTTATCACAAAGCCTCGAGGCGGGGTTCCTGCTGCTAACCACATCTCAAGTGACAGCTGGTGCCTAGGGCTCTTTCTAGGAACTAGCACTCTAAGTGGGGCAAAGGTTACTTCTAAGAACTAACTCACTAAGTAGGACAAAGGTTACTTCATCTGGGACAGAGAGGAATGGCTCTTCACTGGTTTACAAGTTTCCTTCACATGTTTTCTTCTCATTTGTGTCTTTAAGTGGTTCTGTGGGGGCAAGGCAGACATTATTATTGCAGTTTTATGGGTAAGAAAGCTGAGACCTAGAGAAGTTGTGACATGACGAATGTCAAGTGGGTCATAAATGGCAGAGATGGTACCAGAACTCAGTGCTTTTTACAACAGACTGTGCACCTGTGGTAGTTGAAAAAGCCTATTTCAAGGACTGAGTGCTTCTGTGCACCTAACAGACAACACACATGCACACACACATATACACAAACATACCCCCTAATGTGTGCATGCCTGGATTGCAAAGGACAGCTTGTCTAGCTGAGAAATTTTCCTTTCTCATCCCAGACCACTAAGGCAGGTGATGTTTAAGCACACTAACCTTTCAGTGTTGCTGTCTTTTTATTTTATTTAAGGTCTACAAATTTATAAACTTTTCATGTATTCCATATATACAGATTTAGACTTCCCACCCTACCCTCCCTTACCCCCATACTCCCACCTTTCCTCCTCTTTCTTCTCCTATCTTTTCTCTTAATTTTTACAATGATCCACTTTCAGTTTACTTTATTCTTTTAAGATTAACCCTAAACTAAGTAAAGAGTTCAACAAATAGAAGAAAAAAAAACCCACTGTTCCTCAACAGTCTAGACAAGGGCTGTAAACAATCATTGAATCTCAAAATTTCAATTTTACTCCTGCACATTACATTTTTGCTGCTCTGTTAGTTACCACAGGTCAGGGAAAACATGTGGTATGTGTCTTTTTGTGACTAGCTTATTTCACTAAGTATAATGATTTCCAGTTGCATCCATTTTGTTGTAAATCACAGGATTTCATTCTTTTTATGGCTGAATATTCTGTAGTGTAAATATGCCATAAGTTTTTATCCAGTTATCAGTTGATGGACATCTGGAGTGATTTCATATCTTTGTTATTGTGAATTGTGCTGCTATAAACATGGGGGTGCAGATAACTCTTTCAAATGCTAATTTCATTTCCTTTGGGTAAATTCCCAGGGGTGAGTTTGCTGGGTCATATGGTATATCTATTTTCAGCTTTCTGAGGTCTTTTTACTGTCTTCCACAATGGCTGTACTAGTTTATATTCCCACCAACAGTAGACTAAGGTACCTTTTCCCCCATATCCTTGCCAACATTTGTCATTTATTGATTTCTTTATGAGAGCCATTCTAACTGGAGTGAGGTGAACTCATTGTGGTTTTGATTTGCATTTCCCTGATGGCTAGTGATCCTGAGCATTTTCTCAAGTGTCTGTTGGCCATTTGAATTTCCTCCCTTGAAAAATACCTGTTCCAAGTCCTTTGCCAATTTCTTAACTGGTTTGCTTATTTTGTTGTTGTTGAGTTTTGTGAGCTTTTCATAGAAGCTGTATATTAATCATTTATCAGTTGCATAGTTTGCAACTAGTTTGTTTCAGTCTGTTGGTTGCCTCTTTACTTTGTTGACTGTTTCTTTTGCAGTGAAGAAACTTCTAAGCTTGATGTAATCCCGTTTGTCTATTTTGGTTTTGATTGCTTGTGCTTCTGAGGTCTTTTCCAATAAGTCTGCCTACGCCAGTGTCTTGCAGAGTTTCACCCATGTTCTACTCTTCAGCTATCTTGTTCTTTGGTCTATCTAATTCTCTCTTTAATCTGTTGTTTTGAGATATATCTATATAGCTACATATATCTGAGGTTGCTCACTCTCTCTCTCTCTCTGTAAACCAATTAGTGAGATAGACAAGGACAGTAATAGTTCTTCTATTTCATTTTATTCTTGTATAATTTGCTATGTCCTCCGGGAACACCACACAATGTTGCTGCTCTTGCTGTACATTGGAGACTTATCTGGCTGCAGGAGTCCACCTCATAATATCCTTACTTCATTCTTGCTTACAAAGGATGTGGGAGCAAGTATACTGAATGGCAAGAGTCTGCTCTAAAACTTGCTGGAGTTTTCTGATCTCAGACGTGGGGATCCACATGGCAATATGCACAGAACATCAGCTTCCAACTGCCTTTGTTGTCCCGGCTCCATCTGCAGGGTGGAGGTCAGGTCCTGCTCACTGGGCTGCAGGAACAGATAAGAAGGAGTGACAGGGAGACTTGGAAAGTTACTGAGAACTAAAATCTGGTGTTGATTCTTCTCATGTGGCTCTTTTAAGTTAAAAAGAAGGGAAGACAAGTTTCTATTTGTTTATTGGCCTATGTTTGGAATTATTATTTTTAGGAATCCTGACACTACCTACACTTCTTCCATCCCCATCTCCTGTCCACATTATTTCTTGTGAATCATAAAGTTTTATACAACTTCCCACTCTTTATGTGCCTCAGGGGAGCAGACATTAGAATCAGCCACAGACAATGAGCAATGGTTGGGCTGCAAGTCAAGGAGACTCTGTAACCCTTGATTGCTTTAGGTAGTATCATGTGACATTTCTGGCCAAAAGAAATAAGGGATCAGATTGTGGAAGAGATTCTGCAAAATGTTTTCTTCAGTTTTTAAAAGATTTATTTATTTATTAGAGAGGCAGAGTTACAGTTAAAGAGAGGGAGAGACAGACAGAGAGGTCTTCCATCAGTTGGGTTTCCAAATGACCCAATGGCCACAGAACTCCCCAAATGACCACAATGGCTGGAGTTGGGCTGATCCGAGGCTAGGAACCAGGAGTTTCCTCCAGGTCTCCCATATGGGTTCAGGGGCCCAAGCACTGGGGCCATCTTCCACTGCCTTCCCAGGCTACTAGTAGAGAGCTAGATTGGAAGAGGAGAAACCAGGACATGAACTGGTGCCCATATGAGATGCCTGTGGTGTAGGCAGAGGCTTAAGCTACTACACCACGGTACCATCCTTAATAGATAGTCCCTGGGCCCTTGTTGTGGTGTTGTGGGTTAAGCTACTTCTTTTTTTTTTTTTTTTTTTTTTTTTTTTATTTTTGACAGGCAGAGTGGACAGTGAGAGAGAGAGACAGAGAGAGAAAGGTCTTCCTTTGCCGTTGGTTCACCCTCCAATGGCCGCCGCTGCAGCCGGCGCACCGCGCTGATCCGATGGCAGGAGCCAGGATCCAGGTGCTTTTCCTGGTCTCCCATGGGGTGCAGGGCCCAAGCACCTGGGCCATCCTCCACTGCACTCCCTGGCCATAGCAGAGAGCTGGCCTGGAAGAGGGGCAACCGGGACAGAATCCGGCGCCCCGACCGGGACTAGAACCCGGTGTGCCGGCGCCGCAAGGTGGAGGATTAGCCTATTGAGCCACGGCGCCGGCTCATAAGCTACTTCTTGTTACAGTGACATCCCAATGAGTGCTGGCTGCTCTGCTTCAGAAACAGCTCCCTGCTGATATGCCTGGGAAAGCAGCGGAGGAAGAGGACGGCTCAAGTACTTGGGCCCCTGTCATCCATATGGGAGACCCTGATGCGATTCCAGGCTCCTGGCTTTTGTCTGCCTATCCCTGGCTGTAGTGGTCATTTGGGGAGTGAAACAGCAGATGGAAGATCTCTTTCTCTTACTTTGCCTTTCTAATTTTTTTTTTTTTTTACCAGTGCTTATATGGGATGCTGGCACTGCAGGCAGAAACTTAACCTTATGCCACAGCAATGACTGTTTCCTTTATTTTCCTTCTATTTTCCCTACTATTTCCCCATGAAATCCCATACATAAATATTTTTTCTGACTTCTGATTATTTCCCTAGATTTTGTAATTCGAGTTGTCTGGGATTGAAGTATGTGAATTCTTTTAAGCCTCTTACTTGATATGTAGGGGAGGAAGAAAACACTTTTTTCTTTTCCTATCCTGTTAGGCTCAGTTCCTGAGGTCTGTGAATTAAACTGATAAATACATATCAACAGGAAAGAAAAAGAGACTTGTTTATGTGCATACGAGAGTCAACAAAAGAAGGAGCTGGCTCATGGTGGGGTTAAAGTTAACGGCCTAAACGGTCTTTAGATCAACATTGGGGCTCTCAGTGGGCCCCGTACTTGTCACCTGACAAGTTTCCAGAAAAGTTTTGCTGAGTTGTACTTCTGTGAAGCAGAGGGAGGTGAGTATTATTATTATTATTATTTCTTTTTTTGACAGGCAGAGTGGATGGTGAGAGAGAGAGAGACAGAGAGAAAGGTCTTCCTTTGCCGTTGGTTCACCCTCCAATGGCCGCCACGGCCGGCGCGCTGCAGCCGGCGCACCACGCTGATCCGATGGCAGGAGCCAGGTGCTTCTCCTGGTCTCCCATGGGATGCAGGGCCCAAGCACTTGGGCCATCCTCCACTGTACTCCCTGGCCACAGCAGAGAGCTGGCCTGGAAGAGGGGCAACCGGGACAGAATCTGGCGCCCCGACCGGGACTAGAACCTGGTGTGCCGGCGCCGCAAGGCGGAGGATTAGCCTAGTGAGCTGCGGCGCCGGCGAGTATTATCATTTTTAAAAACTCCTAACTGTTTTGATATGTTAAAAACTCATCCAATTTTCGTTTAATTCCTAACTGAAATAAAAACCATTTTAAATGCTTCTTTCCTTTTCAGTGAATTATATCTACATGTCCTTTTTAAATTTTTTTATTTATTTGAAAGGCAGAGAGACAGAGAAAGGCAGAGATCTTCCATCTGCTGGTTCATTCTCCAAATAACTGCAACAGCCAGGGATGGGCCAGGCAGAAGCCAGGGGCCAGGAACCCCATCCAGACCTCCCCATGGGTGGCAGGGGCCCATCAGCTTGAGCTGTTACCCTGTTCCTTCCCAGGGGTGCACATTAGCAGGACGCTGGCATTGGAAGCACAGCCAGGACTCGGACCCCGAACTGTGATAGGGGATTTGTGTGTCCCAGCAGCATTTTAACCACACACCGACCCCTTTCTATGTCTTCCTCACCTGTTTTAATTTGCTAAAAATAATTTACCAGCACATTAACATCCTTCAGGTTTTAAATGCTCAATTGTTGCATTATAATATTTATGAAGACAAACAATGAAAAAGTGTGCATTTATCTTACCAGTGTGAAGAGCAAAAGGAATTCACTTAACCACCACATTCCTTGATAATTTAGACAAACTGAAGGATCAGTTCCTTTAACGAGGACAATGTGGACTGTTATCCTAGCCCTCTTCAAAGTGAAATTTTGAGCTGATGTCCAAAACCAAGTTGTCTTAAAAAACAGACTCTGTGGATAATCAAAATGGAGCTCTAAATTCCGAGTAACTGAATCTGCGAACAGCTTTGCACCATGTCCCAAATTCTTTAAAATCCCAAATCATAACTTTGTGTTTTAATTACATTAAGTGCACTTCACCCCATTGCTGTGACCCCAAAAAACATTTAATTTGCTCAAATATCCTATATTTAACTCTTTCTAAATCTTAAAATTAGTCTTGAAGAAACTTACTTTTTTTTGTTGAAGGTGTTTTTATTGCTGCATAGCATTTAGCACAGTGGCAGCCATCATGATAACCTGAGGGAATTAACCTGAGAAGCCCATATCAAGGGTGGTTGAGAGGAAAGAGAGAAGGAACCTGTGTGTTGCTGAGCTCACTGGGTTGCATACTTAGTCCTACAACCTCTTCTCCTCAAGGTCTCTTGTTACTCGGGATAATAAGTCCCCTGGAGTCACTGAGCATGCGTGTGTAGGTGCACATGTGTGTGCATGTATGTGTGTGCTTGTCTGTGTTTACTTCACATAAAAATTTCCTAGTAGATGCACACCATAAAAGAGAAAATCAGTTCTGACATCATGGTCTGAAAGGGGACGAAAATAGCAGATGCTTATATAATGGTAGTTCAATAAGTTTGTGGGAAATGGAATTGAAAACTAAGTTCATTTTTATGCAAAATATTTTGAAATTCATGCAATATGAAGGATCTTCAAAGCTTTCAGGGGAAGTGCATATGATAAAAAATTTGGATTTCCAGATTTTTGCACCAAACTATACTTGCCTCTTAATCTCATTTTCCATGACCTATTGGAAGTACCCTGTATTTAAAAATAATGTACACTGATCAGAGGTTTGAGGGAAGCTGTGGCAGAGTTACAGAGAGAGAAGGAGAGAGAGAGAGAGAGAGGGAGGGGGGGGAGAGAGAGAGAGAGAGAGAGAGATATTTCAGCAGATTCACTCCCCAAAAGGCTGCAACAGCAAGGGTAGGGCCAGGGGTGAGGAGCTTCACACAGGTGCATGGTCCCAAGCACTTGGGCCGTCTTAAATTGTTTTCCCAGGCACGTCGTCAGCGATCTAGATCTGAAGTGGAGCAGCTGAGATTCGAACTGGGGCCCATATGGGATGCTGGCATTGCAGGTGGCAGCTTTAGCAGCTGTACTACAGCACCATCCCCCACTTGGGCATCTTGGGAAAGCTTAGATCTGATTGAAGAGTTGCAGGCTGGGGTCTCAAATTCTGCATTTTTTGTGGTAATAGGAAATGCCACTATTGCTGGTCCATATATCATAGCCCCAGGTAGCAGGGACTATGAGCTGATAACTTGACTTCTGTTTATCAGCCGGCTTTTGGGTTAAGGCATTAACCTTAGAATCAATGACTGCTTTGGAAAAAATGCACTTTGCATAGAAAGTTGGAGATTGCCTTCTCTAAGTAAAATACTGTGGAAAGTTCTTTTAATCTATCAAACAGAAATCTAGAGTCTCATTTTGATTTCACACCACCTTACATCTGTGAGATAGACAAGCTTCTCACCTCCAGGAAGGAGAAAGATTTTAAAAAAAGTGATGATTTTTCCTTCTGTACAAAGGAATGCAATAGGAAATGGATAAGCAGACACCAGCAATTGAGTGTAAATGTTTAGACAGCCATAGAAAGCCTAGGATAATAGATGTTTCAACTCCAAGAAAACGTGTTGTCATTTAAACTCAGAGTGTGCCTCTAGCAGTTCCCAGGAGCAGTGCGTTCTTCCAGTAGTGATGAAGGAGAGACAGAACCATTCCGTAGGAAATCTGTCTTGTCTCATAAAAACATGAGAGTGTGAGACTGCTCAAGGGTGAGGACTGCTGTTAAGGAAATAAAGCTGAACGGTGAAATTGCGACTTTAGTCTTAGGGACACTGTGTCTCATGTAAATTACATTCCTTCATTTATTCATTAATTCATTGAAAAATATTGAGACCTTACTGGATGCTTGAAATCCATGAGTTAGACATAAAAAGATAAGCTCTCTACTCCCAAGGGGACTATCCACAGGCAGATAGTAATGAGGCTGACATGAGGTTTACATAAATTGTAGTGGAGGAAGCAGTTGAGGCTGCTGTGGGGCTGCAGGAAGCATTTTGCAGAGAAGCAGTGTCTGAGGTTCAAGTTGAAAATGAATGGGATGTGGCCAGAGGCTGTGATGGGAAGAGGGTTGGAGCCATCCCACAATGACTGAAAATACTCTGCAAAGGCATATTTATGGAATCTTTGTTCAGGCAATAGAAAGAAGGGAACAACAGAATGAAACATTTATAAGAAATTAATGTAAATTTATAATTTTAATTATCTCTATGGATTCTGTAATTTAGAGTTCAGAGAAGAAAAATTAAGTGATGGGAAATCTTAAAATTGCATTAAGAGCTGACTGGTGGCATGTGGGTTGTTTCTTAATCTTATTTTTTTGAATTAGCACGTAATACTTGAACATTTTAGGGGGTATGTTTCAACCTATGTACGTAGATTTTTAAATTTTTTTATTTTTGCATGTACTCACTTTTTTGTTGGTCTTAAAATCTTTATTAATATAAAGAGAACATATTTCATGCATTTCATAGGTACAGTTCCAAGGAAACAACCACACTTCCCTCACTCCCCTATTTCCCCCAAACCTCCTCGCTCCCTCTGTCGTCATCAGTTTTTGCAAAGGTATAACTTCATTTTTCTCTCCTTTTTTATTTAGTAAATATAAATTTCCAAAGTACAGTTTATGGAATACAATGGCTCCCCCCGACCCCATAATTTCCCTCCCACTCACACCCCTTCTTTAATCCACTCCATATTCACAGGCTTAATTCACCACTAATCACAGTATTCTACAAGTAAAAGAAGGAAGACCACAGTTTCACAGTGGTATAAACAAGGGGTAAAAATGACAAAGACATTCCAAATTGTCTATTTCATTCCTATACATTTTTTGTATTCTCTATTAACTGCCACATACCAGAGAAAACATACAATATCTGTCTTTTTGAGACTGGCTTATTTCACTAAGCATAATGGTTTCCAGTTGCATCCATTTCACTGCAAAACACATGATTTCATTCTTTTTTATGGCTGAATAGCATTCTGTAATGTATATATACCACATTTTCTTTGTGGAGTCATCAGTTGATGGACATTTTGGTTGATTCTATACGTAGCTATTATTATTGATCTGCAGTAAACAGGGGTCAGCCTGTTCAAGTCCTTTGCCCATTTCTTAACTGGATTATTTGTTTTGTTGTTGCGTTTCCGGAGCTCTTTATGGATACTAAATATTAATCCTTTATTAGCTGAATATTTTGCAAATATCTTCTCTGATTCTGTCAGTTGTCTCATCACTTTTCTGAGTTTTTCGTTTGCAGTGCAGAATCTTCTCAGCTTGATGTAATCCTATTTGTCTATTTTTGCCTTTATTGCTTGTGTTGCTGGGGTCTTTCCCAAGAAGTCTTTACCTATGCCAATGTCTTACAGAGTTTATCCAATGTTTTCCTCTATTAATTTGATGGTATCAATTTGTAGATTTAGATCCTTGATTCATTTTGAGTTGATTTTTGTGTAACATGTAAGTATAGTGGTCTTGTTTCAAACTTCTGCAATGCAGAGATCCAATTTTCCCTGTACCATTTATTGAAGGGATTGTTCTTTCTCCAGGTATTGATCTTAGTTTGTCAAAGATTAGTTGGTTGTAGATTCATGGATTCATTTCTGGGGTGTCTATTCTGTTTCATTGTTATACATGTCAATTTCCTGCCAGTACCAGGCTGTTTTGATTAAAACTGCCCTGTAGTATGTCTTGAAGTCTTGTATTGTGATGTCTCCAGCTTTGCTTTTGTTGTTTAAGGTTGCTTTAGCTGTTCAGGGATCTCTTGTGTTTCCA